TCGCTTACCCTGTTTGTTTTCGTTCAGCTGCCGCTCGAACTCGTCGAAGTCCGACATAGCTGCGGAGAAGGGAGGAGGACGCCCCCGGACCGGCCTCGCTACGGTTGTACTGTAGTGGCGCCTGCTAGCCCAGGTCCTCCTCACGCAGTAGGCCGCAACAGCGCCTTCTCTGGGAGTTCGGCAACTTCCGGTGACCGCTTCGGATGTGAACGGAAACACTCGGCTATCTCCGGAACGCCTTTCGAGATGTGGTTGTCCTTCCCCTCTCCCTCTTACCCCGCCAAAGAATCTTCCCAGAAACCCTCGAGAAAAGCTGCCTCTCTAGGAAAGTTTCGGTTACTTATAGACACTTTCTATAAACGTCATTTCCTTCGTCTCGAAACCTTTCGGGTGCCTGACGCATGCCTTTGTATTCCCGCTTAAAAGCAAGGGAAGAAAAAAAAAAGCCGTGGGTTCTTATAAAGGAGAGTCTCTCGAGTATTTCCGTCGGATGCCGCTTGACTGCTTCCTGTGGATTTCTTACGTATTGACCATATGGCTGATCTTTCGGTGTCGATGTACAGAACAGCGGAAGAATGAGAGTAGTTTTATTTTGTTGAATTAGCATTGTTTTCATTTTCGAAATATACTGAACTGCGAATAATTTCACATGCTGGGCTCACATAGTATACTGAAGCGCTAAAAAAGACGAAAATGTGAGAGAGCTGCGTTTGCAGGGCGCACAATCACATACATTATATGAACCCCATCCATGTAGCGTGAGATTCAAGTGTCACGCGAACCCAGAAAATTTGAGTTCATTCAGTTAAATCATGAATAGCCTTGTTTAAGCTTATCACGAACACAGACAAGTATGGAAAGCTGTTAAGATGTAGGCAATGAAAGCTTTTGAGCTTTTTGTACTCTTTCCAAACTTGTAGTGTAGGGATCTAATTCATAAATAGAATTCTTTCTAGAGCAACTGTTCTACCATAAAGTGCACTGCATTTTCTATTTCACAAGGACCCTGCCTTCTAATTAATACAGGCAGTTAATTGTGTTTTTTTTTTAATTTTTGAAGGGGAGCAGACATGTTCCTAAAGCCTGTAGTCTTTCCCTGACAAACATAGCATAATTTTGTCTATGGCACCACCCTGTGCTATTTTATGATGCAATTCTCTGCATATTTTCTTAAGAGGATGTTCCCATTAAGCTATGGAGGTTATACTTTCCTCTCCATGTTGAGTTTTATCAGCCTGGAATGTTCCCCATTTCTTTATGAACTTCTAATAAACTCAGAAGTGTTACCTGAGTATTCCTTTTTTCTAATAAACCACACTTATTTGCAAATTGTCTCTTGTACTTGAAGTTCTGCTAACTTACTGTGCTCTAATTTTAAACAACTTTTCCTATCTTTTAGGAAACTTTGAAGTCACAGTGGGGTAGGTTATACATCCTATTATACACTGTTTAAATCCCATCCTCGTACACATCTAAACTAGGTAGGAAAATAACCAGTTTTCCCATCTTACCAAGGGAAAACCAACTGAAGAAGCCCAAATGTAATCTAGGAACTCTCAGAGAATGAAGGAAACTGGATCTCTCCGCTCTAATAGTTCACACATTTGTTTTCACAGGCTATAAGTGTACCTCATTTTGCAATGTGCTACATAAGGTTATGTAAAAAATACATATTGCAGAATGTTATACCAAAATGTTCTCTTTAATTTAAATTCTGTTTTAATAAAATGTTTTTTTAATATTTTCTTTTTAATTTCTTTTTTTTAACACAGAAAAAGGATTGGGTGAATGAAATTACAGGCACAGTGGGAACAGTTCATTAATTACACTGAATAAAAAGGAAGCATCCTCAAGGAATGCAATGTACAATTCAAGTCCTTGCATTCAAACATACTTCCTCACTAACATACTGAGAGGAAAAAAAGTATAAAATTGCCAGCAGAAAAACCCAGTTGGGGACTAGGAGTAGGACAATAGCTAGGGAAAAGGAGTAGGCAATACCTCCCAAAACTATGAGGTAAGAGGTGTACTAGGACCACAGGATGTGAGAATATCTTTGGGAGACAATAGGAAAGCAGAGGCAGCTCAATGCTGCAATTCCTCCAATCTTAGCAAGATTACACAGGTAGTCCCCAGTTTAAGAATGAGTTCCGTTCCCACGGTCTCTCCTTAAGTCGAATTTGTATGTAAGCCAGAACAGTATTATTGTATGATACTGTATAAGAAACATTGTGTAATGAATTTGAACCATTGTGTATTTAACTCAAATCATTGTGTATTTAACTC